TTTGTCCAGGTAAAATAATTACCTAATTGCTATAGTCTGTATCATATTTGAGGAAAAGAGAATTTGAAACTATGTGGAAAGATTACGAAACATTATATAGTGTACAGTGTATTTGATATCTAGATTTTTGTGTTGTCTATATGATTTTCTCAGCCTTCTAATTGAAATGAAATGGACAAGATGATTTTCTATTATTATTTTTTTTTCTCATTTATTTGCATTTTTCTCAACTTTCAACATGTTCAATGTATTCTATTTACAATTTTGTGAAGATTAAAAGTGATGAAAAAAATGCACGCTCTTTAAACTCTTGTCAACTTAACTTAAGTGCTACATGTACTGATGTGTATACTATAATATAGACAGAATTTTTACGTTTTTATTAATATTTTGGAAATGTTGTTTGAATTCTTTTAAAATTCCATGTCCACATAAGTGGTAAACATTAGAAAGGTACCTTGTAGAAATTAAACGAAACAAATGCCTTAAATGAAAAGAGAAATTGTTGGAAATTAAATTTTAAAATAATCCGGAAATGCTATGTGATAAAAAATTAATGTGCAATTTTCTTCTATTCTGGAGATAGCGGACTGAAAACGTGGCTTGATATGATTAAAAAAGATATAGTGTAAACATCATGAACACGTATCTCCCCTTTCCATCCGCCAAATACATTAAAATTTACCCTTCTCATTTCTTATACAGGGCTCTTTTAGAAGATTACAATCTTCAAAAGAAAAGTTTCAAAGTTTGATAGGAGTTTTGAACACAATAAAAATGAAGTAATAAATAAATAAAACCTTTTTTTTTTCAGAATAAAAAAAAGGATAAAATGTTTTCTTTTAACAGTAAATAGCAATTTAAAGCTTCCGGACGTGAAATTTCATACACACGAATTGTAACATTTTCTCATGCAAAGCCGGCAATCTTTTCTTAAAATTTGATTGGCTCTAAAAAGAGCCATTTGAGGAGTTTGTCATCGAGGACTGTATGACGTATCACTGGACCATGACGTCGTCTGCTTCTAGAGGCTGGTCATTTTCTTCCATCGTCTCGTTTCTGGCTTGCTGCATCTCTTGGGCTTTAATGGTGGCAAACTCATAGTAGACATTGCGCAGCCCTTCGATCACGGCCAGCTTCAGTCGCAGTGTGTACCGGAAGGAACGTCGACCGGACGCATGCGCCATGCGATATCGTCTGCTGGTGGAAGAAAGGCGCTCGTTCAGCATGACAATCTGGAGGCAGGCCTTCCGGAATAACTTCTCGGAGTTCTCTAACTTTTCTGCTATCTGGACAACCTTAGTTGAAGGCATTCTTCGTAGGGTACGTTTTCAGAATAGTGGCGATTCTACCTATGTTCGGGTTTAAATAGAAGGTGTGTGTCGGTGTCCTTTGAACGAGGCTTCGTCGGACAGGTGTTTTGAAATGCATTGCGGCGATTTTGTGTCGCCGGCTATCGGCGAAATGCGGCGGATCAAAGATTTTTATTTATCAACTTCTTCAGCTTTAGACAGATAAACACAATTTCTATAGAGTCTTAGGATAAGAAATAGATAATTCTTGGTGTATTGTTGTAAGGGGTCTCATTTATCTTTAACTCAGATTAAAATACTTTTTTATCCTTGTTAGTAAAGAAAAGTATAAACAAAAGTGACAGTTTGAGCAATTATAAATTATCTTAGCTTAATATTGTTTTGAACATATTTTATTGAACGAGTCAAATGGATTGGAAACAAGTTCTTGCAACTTACAAGTTCCTCTCCATAAATATAACAATGTGTCATGCAAAAAATACATTAAAATATAATAATTATAATATTTTCAAGTGATGCAATTAAATTACAAATCAATTTAAAATCTACATGTTTCAGTAATAAATCTATGGACAGCAGCAAAAATATTAATATTAATTGATACAGGCAAATCTCTGTCACCCCATAATAGTAAATTAGTGTCAATTGTAACCAATTCTTCAAGCATGAACAGGTGGTTAAAAAGATTGTTTCTAGCATTTGCATACTTTATACAAGCAAAAAAATAATGATAAACATCTTCATACTTTCCACAGGAACAAAGAGGACTGTTTATAATATTGCGTTTATATAGATCATAATTAAGTAAACAGTTGTGTCTTAGTTTAGTATGAAGTATGTTTGTGTAGCGTTTACCAAAAGAAAAATATGATGGCGGATTGATGATTTTTGTACAAGCTCTTAAGTTTTTACGGAAGGAATTAATTGAGATGGCTTCTCTTGTATCTAATTTCAATAAATTCCATTGTTTCACGGCGTCTGGCACAAATGACTTTTTGAATAGATCTAATCTACATCTTGGAATAATGAACTGTTCTTTATTGCGGGTATTGTATTTTGATACATTATCATGCTTGTTTGGTACAATATTATTTAAATATTCAGGGACAGTCCCTTTATGTATTTTGAACATAGTAGACATTTTTGCAACATAACGCCTAAATTTTAAAGTTTCCCAACCAGTTTCTAAATAAAGTGTTTCAGTAGATGCAAAAATAGGAAGTCCGGTGACAATTCTAGCCGCAGCTAGTTGTACTTTTTCCAGCTTTTCAGAATCTTGTTCAGAGCACCCATCCCATACAACAGAAGCGTATTCGAGCATTGGTCTAATAAATGTAGTGTACAATTTTGAAAGGTTATTTCTACTCAATTTAAACTTAAGTTTTTTCAAAAGCCCAAGTTTTTTATAAGCATTGTTTACAATACCGTCAATATATGCAGACCAGCTGAGATTCTGTGACAATAATAAACCCAAGTGCCTATGGACTGGGACGCATTCTAGCCTATCTCCTTTAAAAAATAATTTTGGCATAATAGAAATGGACTTTGTGTTAAAGAAGACTACCTTTGTTTTAGATGGGTTAAATTTTAGAAGCCATTTATCTGACCATGATTCTAAAATGTGTAAATCGTGGTTTAGCTTATATTCAATGTCTAAAATATTGTATGAACATTGTTGAAGCGAATTATCATCAGCAAACAATCTACACATGGACATCATATTTTCAGCAACATCATTTACATATATCAGAAATAAAAGTGGCCCCAATACAGAGCCCTGAGGTACACCTGCATATAAATCAAGTTTTGAAGAGAACAAATCCTTATACATTACTTTTTGTGACCTATGATGTAGATAACTAGAAAACCACTGGAGGATATCTCCGGATAAACCATAAGTTTGTAATTTAAAAATGAGACCCTTGTGCCATACTCTGTCAAATGCTTTAGACAAATCACAAAAAACCATACAACATACTTTTCCTTCATCAATATTTTGTACAATACTATGATATGTTTCTAGTAATTGATACACAGTAGAATGTCCGGGTAAAAAACCGGCTTGATATCGATAAAACAGATTATTACCGTGAAAATAATTGTACACATGTTTAAAAATAATTCTTTCCATAATTTTACTAACACAGGATAACAGCGACACAGGTCTATAATTTGAAACCAAAGAGGGGTCATCCTTTTTAAAAAGAGGAATAACATGAGCTATTTTCCAGAAAGATGGAAATATTCTATCTGACAGGGACCTGTTGTATAACATAGTGAGTGGTTTAACAACAGACTGAAGGGTAGATTTTAACATTTTATGACTTATACAGTCGGGACCTATAGCTTTGTTCACGGGAAGTATTGAAATAATGTCTGATACTTCATGTTCTTCAATTGATATTTTACAAAATGTGTTACTACATAGATTGTACATGTTTGGTAGTGTTTCGTTTGAATCATCAATAGTAGAAATAGATGAAAAATAAGAATTTAAGGCTTCAATTTTGTCTACGTCAGAGTAAGCAAACTTTTTACCACCTTTATCATTATATATTTCAATAGGTGGTATCTCGTTAGATAGTTTAATGTTGAATGAATCCTTCATCAATTTCCAATAAAGTTTATTATTATTTTTACTTGAGTCCTCTAAATATGTTTCAATATTGTCGTAATAATTAGCCATAGCATGTTTCTTCATATTGTTAACCGAATTCCGTACCTTTCTATATTCAGACCGATCAGATTCTCTTTTAGTTTTATGTGCTTTTTTATGAAGACGGTCTCTAGTTCTAATTGTTTTCCTTAATAAAGAATCGAACCATGGTTTGTCACGAGGACGGATTGTTATTGTTTGTTCCGGTACGCATTCACGAACACAAGTGAGAAATTCAGATGTGAAATTTTCAGTGGCCAAATCTATGGTATCAGCTTCATTGATGATTTTATCCCAATTACAGTTTTCTATCAAAGTATTTAATTTACCAAAGTCCGCATTTTTATAGGCCCACACTTTTCTTTTGTAAGAGCGATTGTAGTTTATATTAGAGAAAAGCGAGATAAAAGTAGCTTAATATTCGTATTTCATTTGCCTTAATATGATAATACTCTATAATACTCTCTGGAAATTTTGAATAAAGATTGAATTTTTATAATTTCAATTATTCTGCAAAAAAAAAAAAAAAAAAAAAATTAATAAATTTCAAATTTTGGTAATTTATTTTATGTTATTTTTAATATCAACAGTCTGAAATCCTCCCACAGAGAGAAATAACCTGATAAGCAAAATTAATGCATATTTTTCTAGAAAAATATACTAGGTTATTCAAAATTGCATAATCGCAAAAGAAACCTTGTGCAAAAATGCTAAGAACTCTACTCTAAACTGCATTTACTTGAAGAGAAGGTTTATGTACATTATCAGTGAAAACAGAGACAGAGAGAGAGAAGATTAAAAATACTAATATTTTTTTTATAGTCTTATTTGTTCATCTTATTACTTTCATTTTTTTTTATAAAAAATATACATTGTAAATTAAAATCAACAAATACAGAAGAAACTTTTTATTTTTTATTTTAATAAGATGGAAATATTTCATATCAATATCTAATCAAATGAAAATAAAACTGGACATCCCCATTACATGTACAGTGAAAAATCCCCCCCCCCCCACACACACACACATAAAAAAAGAAATATTCTAGTTTTTTTTCCCTGTATAATCCCATCGTCTAGCTTCTGATGAAATATTTGGTTACAAATGAGATACAAATTATGTTTTAGAATTTTCAAATCCAATAGCAAAGGAGTGATTATTTCATCATTTGCCTAAAATATCGAAATGAGGATGGAAAATAACAAATAAAGATTATTATATCAACAATTTAAAAAGTTGCACCCAAGTACTCGCAATAACCAAATGGACAACAGGTTTATGAAAGAAGAAATGTAGGTAGCATATTAAATCATTGACCAAATTCGTCCACAGAAGCACGGATCATTTGTCATTTTTGCTTAAACATAATCCAGGATTTGAAAAAAAGGGGGTGGGTAGTGTAAGTAGGCAGGAGGTATGTGACCCCGTAAACGGATTCCAGAGATTTTGTAGGTTAAAAATGAAAACTGTTTATAGCAATCTAATTGAAATAACCAAATCTAATGTCCCTATTTTTATATATAGAAAATCTGTAGTGGACTCGGAACAAAAGTTTGTTTTTAATTAGATCGCCTTCAAAGTAGATAATTATATTTTGCAAAGAAGACACCAGTTTATCATGAATATAATACACGAAAAAGGGGAAAGTGCCATTCCTTGATTTCAAAAGAAAAAAAAGTGGGGATGGGGGCAACAAGTGAGTCGTTCCGGACTTTTAGGAGGAGGGGAAGTAATGAAATTGCCACAGTATAAAATTATTATTTTTCGTTTCCATTAAAGCGGACAAAACCTTATAATTGTAAAGTATAATTATTTGAATAATTTTCAATTTCTTCTCAAAATTGCATACAATTGAGACAGAAATGGCTGAACTTTGCTCGATGATTCTGAAGAACTGTATACATGTACACAGCTAGGTGTGCATATCCGACCCCAAATAAATTTTCACCAAAATGCTTTCATATTTGAAACAGGTAAGTATCAAATAAGAGAACAACTAAAATTAAAAATAATTTTTTTTACAAATGTAAAAATTACCTGTTTTAACCAGTCAAAAAAATCTTTAAATTCATTAATTATCATATGGACATAAATGAGCAATTTTTGAGAAATACAATGCAAAATACATAGAATAATGCATGTGCCTTAGCAAATACAGACTTATTTGTACCAGAGGTATAAAAAATAGCACGAACAGATTCCCAATGATATATTAGCACCTTAATACAATGTCATTATTTACTTCCAATATAAATATCAGCTGAAGTTAAGAAATGTATTGAGGGATCTCATTAAATATTGCATACGCTTCCCGTACGTATAATGTTTTGATCAATATTAAATGCACCTTAATACAAACATAATCTTCAGAACATTAAAAGTGAAAATGTCACCATATCTTATTTTTGTGTGTGTATGTATTGTGGGAGGAGTTTATTCCTTTTGTCAGACTTATGTTAACCGCCTCTGTCGGGAGGGGATGGCAGGAGAAGCCTGGGGCTGAAGCCTCGTATCCTCAAAGGACCTGTTTGTGTAGATGTTCTCGTCATTTCCCCCCTCTTCAATGTAGATGTTCTTCTCCATCATCGGTTGTCTATCAGGTCGTTCAACTGTAAAAACAATATGTACAGATTTAAATAAAAATATATACCGAGAAATCAAGCTTCATAGAAAGAAAACATTGATTCAGTAATAGATACATGTACGCCATGGTGTGGATTTTGAATTTACCGGATGTCATGTTGTATGTCGCCCGCGTGGTGCAGTAGTTAGAGCGTCTGCTCTAGAGTCGCGAAGTAAGGAGTTGATCCTTACGTCACGGGTTCGAATCCCAATATTGGAGGTGGAGATCGGTCCTTCGGATGATAGGATATAAACCGAGGTCCCGTGTCGCAGTTGGTGCTGGCACGAAAAAATATCCATCACTGTTCAATGGCCCTCAGCGCCTAGCATAGGACAAAATTTGCAGCTTTCCACCGGCAAGTGGTGGCGTCTTCATAGTGACATATGAGTGAAACATTCTCGAGGGGAACGTTAAACAACATACAATCAATCATGAATTTTTTAGGAACTCTCGATAAACTAAAAATTTACACAATGACACCTACACCGCGAATAAAAGCATATTTACCTGTCGTCACGCGCTTCCGCCTTATCACAAATACAGTTATCAAAATAGCTATCGCCGCTACAACCAAAATAGCTAGAACGGTAATCACTCCTATAGCAGTAGTCGACAGGGCTGCTCCCTCGTCAGACGACTGTCGTAAAGAGAAGATAACATCCCTGGAGTTACAGGGGTACCTCTGTACCGCCATACGAAGCAGACTATCCACTGCCGGCATGTTCTGTTCGTACATAATCTTATTCATGGCCATGACGTCAGTAATGATTGTGACAGATATCCCAGAAGACATCACGCGAGTATTCCGGAACTTCAGCCCTTCAATTTCGTCAGTGAGCATCAGATAGTTTTGGATGTAGTCCTGGTCCACCACACATCCCCTCTGGTTTGGTTCAAAGTCTACCACCTTTCTGTAATTTGTTACGGAGAAAGGCTTTTCAAGTTCTTGGAAAACTTTATCAAAATTTGACACGTTGTATTGTGTTGGAACAACTCGTAAATATGGGTACGTTTGGATTTGGTTTTCGCTGTGTCTAAGATCCCATTCCTCTGCATCTGTGTTTTGGGGTTGGGCCTCTACAAGAGCACTAGGACATCCTCTTATCAGCAAGCTAGAGACTTTATCTGCGAAGTCAGCTACCCCTTTCACGTACACTTGGATTGCGGAGAGGTACATTTCTGGAAAAGTGATGTCCATTATATATACATTTCCAGAGGTAGGTCTTCTGATAATGTTTTGTAACGTCTGAAAGTCTGGACTGTTTCTATCAATGTATTCCACCGTATACTGGTTTGCTTGATAAGTCTTTTTGGTCCTAATTGTGACCGTGGTTATCATGACATCAACGCCAAAAGACACGAAGTAACGGTTTTCAAAATTATTATAAACGCCAAGTCTGCCATTGTCGGGGAAAACTATACCATTGCAGTCTGCAAGAAAAAATACGAAAAATTCTATTAAAAATGACATAAAGTATACCTTAAAATTTTCAAATGCAGGAGATAAGGGTACGAGCTGCGGAGCACATGTATATTGCAACATAAGCAAGGAAGCCAACAATTAATAAGTTGAAGACATAGCATTGAGGTCAGACGACACATTCCTCAAATATATGTTTTCTCTGATTTCTACATTGTTTTTAAAATGTTTATAAATATAAGTACACCAATAAGTGTGATATAGGCCATTCAGAAGATTACCCATAAGGGTTATAAGAAATATATACTGAGCACAATAAATTTAGCAACTGTTTTTCCATAGGTATAGTTTTAAAAATATTTTTCGCAATTGTTTTATTTTGTTTCTACTTAAAATCAATATAAAAAAAGGTAACAAAACACGCACTTCTTTGTTAACTTGACGCCCAGAAACCGCATCGTCCAACGTTGTGACAATTCAACAATACAAAATATTACGCTCGAACGCACATGGTCCTGGAAATATTTCTACTTGAAAAACCCTTCGAGCACGCTTGAAAAAGAAAACCGGTAAAAAAATTGCAAAAATGTCAAATAGGGAAACATCTAGGACTTTTCAAAAATGAACGTCGAACGACTATAGAGATACTACGCCTGTTGCTCACAAAAGAAATGTCGCTGAACACTTTCTTGTGCATTCGTTCACTATATGTTGACTTTTAAACTGATCCCGGACCACCTGACATGTTAGTAATTGTCAGCGCTCAGAACCTCCCCAAAAAACGACGGTTAGGCAAGATCATTGACCTGTAACAACGTCGAGACGTAACCGTTTCATGGCTGCTTCTAAAGTTGCTGACGAATTCTGCCGTGCAATTGGACTGGGATTATTATGACAATGTGTAAAAAAACCCAGCTAGGTTTAGCATATCTTCGAGCTTGAAAATCTCTCACAGCAAAACCACTAACTCAACGTCATCGACAGTCCTGCCTCGCATGGGCAATGCACGACACACAAGCTGTCCTTCAGCAGAATGATGTTAAGATCTTTGATTGGTTTGCGAGATCGATTGCCAGATTTGTCACCAATTGAACACATTCTTGGTCGTCGTTTAAGACATCGATATCACGTCAACAACGTAGCAGAGCTGACCCTTGTCCTGCAGCAGGAGTGGAACCAGATTACCTTGCTTTAGATACAAACCTTATAAGGAGCATGAAACGCCGTTGTGTTGTTGTTATTGCTGCAACTGGAGGCCTTACACAATATTGAAACTTAATCTGACTTTTCAAATCCGTATCTGTGATCAGTTTTACGATATTTCTTACAAAACAGCATACAATTGCCGATAGAATTTGCCGTATTTTGTTATGTAATGACAAGCTCATATCACATTTTAATTGTAAGTGCTGTGTCTATCTTTTTCATTTTATTTTATAATAACTATCTTAAATTGCTAAACTCATTTTGCTCAGTATATATGACCATGTGGTATCTTGTCCAAATGCATGGTAATTATAAGGTACCCTAATTTTTTGTGAGGAAACTTGTATAAGTACCTACACTTCAATAACAAATTCTTAGAAAAAATTATATATTTTTAAGGAATGTGTCGTCTGACCTTAATCAGAACATGTGAGAACAATTTGTTATTCATATTTAAAAAAAAATTTCACCTCTTTTGGCTTTGTGCGGCACCGGTCCTTTTTCTTTTATTGTGACCTTTCCGTTTTTGTTTGACAGTAAGTGGGACACTGGTTGACCCCAGAATGACTTTCTGTCCACGGCTGACACGACCTCCATAAAGACCGTGTCCCGGCGTCTAACCACGCTCCCCGCCGGATGTGTTTTACTATGGAAGGAGAACTGTGCAGGGTAGATGTCAATTTCTGAAAGAAAGCACTTCAATGTTTTTTTATTCCATTTTTTGTTGAAACGGTGTTGATGAAATAGGTGGAGATAACAAACAGTACTGAAGCTCAAAGTCCATTAAACCTTACAAAATAGGAGCAAACTGGGACCTTTAAAGAGGTGGGATCAGGTGCATAGTAAATATTAGTTACATTACTGTCACAAAGCGAATTTCTCAGAGAGAGAGAGAGAGAGAGAGAGAGAGAGAGAGAGAGATGTACTAAATAAAGGCTAATAAAAAGTCATTTAGTAATATATTCTTGTTACAGTCAAGGATATACATGTAGATACTCTATCAAACGCACATAAATGTTGAAAAATAAACATACATGCACCGAGTAAAAAGATGGATGTCAACATGAATCATTTCTTGTAAATATACTATTCACCACAACCACTAATACTTTTTGGTATATAGAACACAGGCACTTGTTTCGGAAATGAATTTTTAACTCATAGTATAATGGGTTAAAAATTTCTTTCCGAAACAAGTGCCTGTGATTTAGAATGTTGGAAAATTCCGAATTCGGAGGAGCAAATAAAAAAAAGAAGATGTGATTGTGAAACACTGATGCCCCGTATGACAGCTTATGGCTAGGGTTTGAAAGACAAACTCCAAGGTCAAACGTGTTGGCATCCAAAGGAAGGTCTTGTCATAAGAAATAATCTTTTTAAAAAAATGAAAGCCCTAGTCCTAACTGCTCAAAAAAGTATGGTCAAGTTTAAAAGTTTTTTTTAATTGGGTCAAACTCAAGGGTCAAGGTCAAAATATATCTATACGTATTAAAAGGCTTGACACAAATAAATCACATATTAAGTATGAAAGCTTAGCAAGTAGTTTTTAAAATTCATGGCCAAGGTTAAAGGTCGGATTTTTTTTGGTAAAAATGAGCGAAACTCAAGGCCAAGAGGTCAAATAAGGCTTCGCCCGTTATGCAAATTATTCCATATTTAAATTTCCCACTATCGTTGATGCCCTGGCATACTATACTTTAACTAGACAGTGATTCCCCAAGTCAGTTTTCATTTATTTAGCAATGATACATAATACCACGCAATTCATGGGCTAAACAAATGAGGTACTAGTATAAGGTATAAAACAGACGTACAGACAAACATGCACGCACCGGGTAATTTAATCCTCTAGTATAGTGTTGCACTGCTTGACAGGTAAAAAAGAATGCAAATTTATACATGTATACCGTATATACTCGCCTATAAGTCGGTATTATTTCTTGAGGTTAATTTGGAGGGATTTTCCATTGACCCGCTTATAAGTCGGTACAACTTTTTTGCCAGAATCGTTTGACATTTTTAATCAATGCAATGATGATTTAGTTGTCTTTATTAATATTTTTTCCAAATAACGCCGATATTTAATTTTAAATCATTAAACAAATAAGTAATGCACACTTAATATAAAAATAAAACTAATAAAATAATTTGATACTTGTACGATATGTAAAATTTTTGAATGCATTAACGATTATACATATATATGCTTTGTTCTTCAGTAATCCTTGGAAATATATATGAAGTGCTACATTTCACTTTCCAGAAAAATACCAATATCTGTATGACTCGCCTATAAGTCGGACATAGAGTTTTGGACTAAAATTTAACTCCCAAAAATCCGACTTATATGCGAGTATATACGGTAGTTCGAAATTCTGAGAAAGATGAACATGCAATTTAAAAAGGCATACCAACTGGTTTCCTTTCTGTTGTCCTCATATCAAACTTGTATTCGTATCCGATACAACTTAAGCCGGTTGCTATGTATCTAAGAATTTGACGACCCTGTCCAATTAATATCTGAATCCCTTTGATTGGTTCAGTTCCTCTGCCCTTTAAGTGGAAATAAAAATGATTGTTCATTTTAATTGTTACAACTTCTTTTTTTAAGCAACAAAGCGACAGAACTATGCACAAGTACAAGCTAGTTCAGAGGATCTTTGTCCCACAATTTAGGAAAAGAAAACCACGCGCGAATATAGAGGTGGGGATGAAAGAGGATCTTTTTTATTTAATATTCCGTTTCTGCTTAATATTCCGTTTCTGTTTGATATCTCACTAAGACTGTGTGGTTTTCCAGTGAAATTTTATGCCATAACTCCCTATTGCCCAAGTAAAACCCTTTTTATTTTGAGGCCAATAGGTTAAAGGCCAAGTTCGTAAATTTGGAAATTCTGTGTGTGTGTAAAACTTTCATTTTCAGGCAATGTATGAATTTCAAGATTTCGTAATGAAATTGTATACCATAACTCGCTATGGCCCCGCCTGCCTTTCTTAAAGAGCCACATTCTACACCCTCCTAGATCTGCACAGTCATGCTTTTTATTTTTCCTTAAGTGGGGGGACACAAATTCTCTGAATAAGCTTGTTGTTTCCCACTTGATGCGATATTCATGAGGAGAATGTTCTGAGTTTGACCAAATTTTGAAATTGAAATGAAGTGCAAAATTTTAGAAATTTTTTTTTTAAAATATTGGTCAATCCCGATCGAAATTAAACAAGTAAAATAAACAAGAGGCACATGGGCTTTATAGGTCACCTGAATATCATGTAACAATTTAACTTTCCAACAATTGAATTTGGTTCGTGTTTTAAACCAGAGGCCATGAAATTCACAATTTTGAAAGAGGCAACATTCATGATTATACACTTAGCATGCTTACTCTAGTTACTTTATACCCAGAGGTAGATCAGAGTAACAGAGAAAATGCACTTCCACTTCGTAACCATTTGTGCACCCCACCCCACAGAAGCCAATGACCCTGAGGCCACATATTTCAAAATTTTGGAAATTTTATCAAAGAAAGTGGGCGCTTTAGATGGCGAATCGGCAGGAATAGTGGCTCATAAAAAGAATAAAAAAATATCATTGATTTATACATATTTTTCTAAACCTAGCCAATGACTGTGTTGTAGGTGAATGTAAAATGGGCAAATATTAAGTTACATATGTTTGATTTTATTTGAATATGCACCTGAATATAGCCGTACGAGTCAAATTATGCAAAAATGGACCCTTTTATAGCCATTTTTCATTAATTTTGTTGTTTCTGGGTTTTCTCTCCATAACTTTTAAATGCGTTCTCAGTGTATTTTTAACCGTAAAATTTATTCCAGTTGTTTAAAAAATTGAGAGATGACCCAGAAATACCAAAATCTAACTTTTTCCCATTTATTATTTGGTAGAAAATTGACAAAGTCCAATTGTATAGGACTTTGGCTTTAAATAGTTATTTAAATACTAACTACGTGTAGTGTACAGCGGTAGCTACATTGGTTTGTCGCTGGATTCAAGCCATATCGAAGCAGCATTTTAGGTTCGAATACGGTTATTATATTTTATTTATTTTTTTCTTTTTGCTTGAAATCTTTAAATTGGTTGTAAAAAAAATTCTCCTTGAATAAAGTTCCAAATTATGTTTTATAAATTATTTTACATTGATTGTTTTATTTTTCAATGTGTTCATATTTTGTCATTTATAGTGCTATCAAAATAGAAATAAACATACATGAACTTGTACATGTAACTACAAAGTAACACCAGATGAAAAAATATTGAATACTTATTTTTAAAAAACTAGCAACTTCGATCCTTCTGTTACATTCAATATTTCAGTGCATTTGAAAACTGAGCACAAAAATTATTCAGTGGTAGACTTCTATTATATTCTATGAAATATATCCAGCATAGATAATTTATCTTTCATGACACCTTTTAATTGAATAAAAATATTTACAAATAAACAAACATAAGACAGAATCAATCCATTCTCATGAAGTTTCTAGGTTCATTGTATAAGATACTGTAGAATATGTATTAAAACTACATGGTGCTTGGACATTTAAATCAGAATTGATTCCTGCCGAATGCCCATCTAGTGCGCCCACTTTCTTTGTTATTTCATCATAAATAGTTGATTAATACTAAACAGCAGATTTCAAAGCCATTAATTTATTTTCAGAATATGTAACACCCCCCCACCCCGATACCTCTGACCCAGGAGCCATGAAAATGACCATTTTGCTGAATGCACCTTTCTTCGTCATAAATATATAAACCTAGATTATTGGCATATTACCCAGGGACAAAGGAAAAGATTTTCAAAGAATTAATGTATATGCACTATATAATCAAAAGATCTATCTCCCCTTTACACCAAATAGCTAAACCCCTCACCCTGGGGCCATGAAATTCACAAATTTGGTTGAGGCACTCTTGCTCATTATAACTATATACTAATTAGTTTATTAAATACCAAGGAGCAGAGAGGAAGATTTTCAAATATAAATGTATTTTCACTATATGAATGTATACAGCACCGCCCTTACACCAGAACCCCTGAACCTGTGGCCATAAAATTCACAAACTTTAATACCTATTCGCCCAACCCCCGGGGTCATAATTTGAACAATTTAGAATCTACACTACCCCCCAGGATGCTTCCACATAAGTTTCAGCTTTTCTGGCCCAGTGGTTCTTGAGAAGAAGATTTTCAACGATTTTTCCTATATATTTCTATGTAAAACTTTGATTCCCCATTGTGGGCCCGCCCAACCCCAGGGGTCATGATTTGAACAATTTAGAATCTATACTACCCCAGGATGCTTCCACATAAGTTTCAGCTTTTCTGGCCCAGTGGTTCTTGAGAAGAAAATTTTTAATGACCCCACCCTATTTTTGTCTTTTCTTGATTATCTACCCTTGTAATGGGAATTGGACCTTCATTTTAACAATTTGAATTCCCCTTTACCCAAGGATATTTTGTACCAAGTTTGGTCAAAATTGGTCATGTGGTTCTTGAAAGAAGTCGAAAATGTGAAAAGTTTACAGACGGACAGCTAGACGGACGGACGACGGACAAAATGTGACCAGAAAAGCTTACTTGAGCCTTAGGCTCAGGTGAACTAAAAATCGGGCTATTTTTAAACATATTTCTAAACATATAACAGATGACATTAAGTTATCTATATTCTGCAAATTCAAATAGGGCGAATTATTCTTTTGGCGAGTTGTCTTAGGAGCAAACTCTCTCACTCGGAGCTCCTCGGGTGGCTCGTACCTCAAACACTAACGGAGTGTATCCGAGTCAGCCGAGGATTGCCGATTGAAACTCTCTAGCATTCTCGCGCATGCGTAGCCTGATAGCATGGCATCCGGTTTAACCTCGCTTATATATTTTCTGCGTGGATCTCAAGGTCCACGCAATAATCGTAATGAAAGTACACACCATAAATCTGACACGTTCAAATTGACCGATATCTTTGTCGGCAAAGGCTCCATGATGCCAGTAATACCCGTATCCACGTTTACATAGGTTGTCCATTTCAAACTTTGCAGTCCCTGCTGTCCCCTCCAGATTCACTTGATATTGTGAAGGATTGTTTCTTCCAGAACAGCTTATCCTCAAACTTATCAAATAGGACCGATCTAAAATTGAAGGCGAAGAAATTAAAAAAAATATTGTTAGTATTAAACTTAAATTTTTGATATATATAAAAAAAAATAATGTAGAAATTCTACAACTTGGAAAATACTAGCATATATCAAAATAAAAAGTGTATGAAATAAATGATACTTATATTTGTTTTAAAGCATTCACTTAATGTATGTAAGCATGGTGATAAAACGATACAAACTTAAAGAATAAAAACAGAATATGATGACATAAGTTTTACCTTTTTCCAATCTTAGGAAGACGGAGAAATCAGTGATATCCCCTGGAGCTGAAAATCTTTGAAAAGAAATTCAACTTTTGAGAAAAGTAACGATTTTTTTCCCCCAGAAACTTTTTAAATTTCACATTTTTGTGAAGAGCAGTAAACTGTTAACACTGAGTATATTTGTATTAAGGAAAATGACGCAGAATCTATATACAGTGGCGCCTCATTTATCCGGACGCTTTGGTTCCCAGGCAAATTGTCCGGATAAGTGAAGCGTCCGGATATCTGAATTCTATTGATTTCTCTTCCAGGTACACTGTATTGGCATTGTGACTCTTTCATATAAAGAATGATAAATGCTATCATATAGAAATAATAATTGAATTTCTTAAACACTATATATTTAGTATACAGCAGCATTACTTTTACACTTTTTTTCAAATATAATAAATATTTTTCAAGCAATATACGAAATGCCAACTCGCGCTCGATCTAGACATGGTTGTAGCTGGTCAGCAGAATGACAAACATTGGATATAACGCAGCTTATATGGGCAGATTATTATTTCATTTCCCAGCTTAGTTTTTACTTTCTACTTCCTATAAATTGATGAACATAGCCAAGCAAATTCTCTCATTTACACCCAAGCGAGCTGTCAGTATCGAGTCCAATTTTAATTTGAACAATCATCCACGCTAAATCTGACATAATAAAAATTCACGCAGTAATTCATTGATTGTCTAAAATTATTTAAATTTGATTGAATGTTTTACTTTTTTTTTTCGATGATAACTGCCACCAATCTACAGATGAAAATTACAATACCGATTTGTGAATGCATGTGTGTAGACTATGAAACTATGTCGTCCCGTCTATAACAGTGTATAAATAGAAAAATATTTAAAACCAGATCTGTACTAAAATTATAAATATCTCGCGGATAACAAATAACTGAATAGAAAATTGTTTTCTGTTACCAACACAGTTAATTGTTTATTTTCATTTGCGTATTAATCTTTCGTATATTATGACCATATCCACTTAGCATGCTTAACGTGTACACTAATCATCGTAAGTCATTCATAACAGGTCACAGGTGTAAAAACAATCAATCCGGCTAGTGTTTTGATAACAATTATCACTCAGTTCAGGCGTGAATATTGACAAGAATTGAAGTACAAATTAAAATTTACCGTCCGGATAAATGAACCAATTTATAACGTAAAAATACATTTTGTAGTAAAAAAGAGCCGTCCGGATACGGAACGCGGAATTCCGGATAAATGAGTCAAAATTACGTTGAAAAAATCCGTTCCCGAGAAAAATCGTGCGGAAGGTGAAGCGTCCGGATATCTGGCGTCCGGATATCTGAAGGTCCACTGTATGTATATTTTATAATCATGAAATCTTCAGGCTTCAATGAGGTTATCTAAAGGAGTTTGATTTAATGTGTCTGAAATTGAAATCCATAAAATAAAACATACTTTCGCCCGTCCTGTCTTTTATAGGCAGTTTCAAGTTTACTTGCTGAGGCTTTGTTCACATCATCAATAAATAATCTTCCAGTAAACAGATTTTCTCCCTTGAAAAGATGCATATCAATTGATTGTTTCATGATTCTGCGAAAATTGAAAAAAAAAATGAATGTTTCTTTTATTTTCTCTTCACAAAACTCGCCACAAAAATGTCTGACTAACCATATTGACCACTTAACCTTTTAGTGTGTACAAATTTTTATTCCTTTAAACTTTCTATGATATGAGTGCATAATTTCAAGTGATTTTTGGGGATTTAGTAACTTAGTGATAACTCAGAGCTTGAATATGCACGTCGTGCTATTTTATGTAATCATATTTTTGTTTGCCTACGTATTGCTTGCGGACGTAATGTAGAAAATGGACTTTTATTTTCAGACTGATTTAATTTAAACATTGTATACCCTTAGCCGATATTTGTTGGCAGACATTTGTAGCAGTGACTTTCCATTGACAACATCAAGTCAAGAATTGTGAAACAAATTTTGAAAAAAAAAATTGAACAAACCTCCACCGACACAAGTTTGAAGCTCTGACCATACACCAACGAAGTTCCAAGTGTCGTGGAATCGTCATCTCCAGACTTGATTTGAAAGAGCCCGTCATAATTAGTGATACTGTTGACTGTTAGAAAATGAACAAGATCTATAAAGTATTTAATGTGATTTCCAAGCAATAAGTAGAGTTTTTATGGATTTACAAATACTTAATACAAGTTCCTGAGTGGGAATAAGATATGAAGTATCCCTACGCTCCGAACTATTTTAGCGAAAGTAAAATATAAACAACTGGCTACGGCAGAGATCGTGACCTGCATGTATGTGTATTGAACGTCGATCGCAGGCAAGGGAGAGAACAGAACAGTATACACTAAAACAAAACAGAACAAGAGGCCCAGGGGCCACAGCGCTCACCTGAGCACATCGGGCTTGAATTTACTACCCCCCCCCCCTTCCAGGCGTTCGTCATTTCAACAAACTAGAATCTACACTACCTGAAGATGATTCCATATAAATATCACTAATCATAGCTTTGAAATACTTGAAAAGCAGATTTTAAAAGGTTTCCCTACATATCCCCATGTAAAACTTAGTCGGCCATTTTGGCCCCACCCTATCCCCAGGGCCGGAGGTCATGATTTGAACAAACTTGAATCTACACTACCTGAGGATGATTCCACATGAGTTTCATCTTTCCTGGCCCAGTGATAATTGAGAAGGATTTTTAAAGATATTTCCAATATATTCCTATGTAAAACTTGGGTCGGCCATTTGGGCCCTACCCTTGCCCCGGGGGTCATGATTTGAACAAACTTGAATCTACAATACCTGAGGATGATTCCATATGAGATTCATCTTTCCTGGCCCAGTGGTTCTGGAGAAGAAGATTTTTAAAGATTTTTCCTATATATTCCTATGTAAAACTTGGGTCGGCCATTTTGGCCCCACCCTTGCCCCGGGGGTAATTATTTTGACAAACTTGAATCTACACTACCTGAGGATGATTCCACGTGAGTTTCATCTTTCTTGGCCCAGTGGTTCTGGAGAAGATTTTTAAATATTTTTCATATATATTCCTATGTAAAACTTGGGTCGGCCATTTTGGCCCCACCCTTGCCCCGGAGGTCATGATTTGAACAAACTTGAATCTACACTACCTGAGGATGATTCCACATGAGATTCATCTTTCCTGGCCCAGTGGTTCTGGAGAAGAAGATTTTTAAAGATTTTTCCTATATATTCCTATGTAAAACTTGGGTCGGCCATTTTGGCCCCACCCTTGCCCCGGGGGTCATGATTTGAACAAACTTGAATCTACACTACCTGAGGATGATTCCACATGAGTTTCATCTTTCCTGGCCCAGTGGTTCTGGAGAAGAAGATTTTTAAAGATTTTTCCTATATATTCCTATGTAAAATTGGGTCGGCCATTTTGGCCCCACCCTTGCCCCGGGGGTCATTATTTTGACAAACTTGAATCTACACTACCTGAGGATGATTCCACGTGAGTTTCATCTTTCCTGGCCCAGTGGTTCTGGAGAAGAAGATTTTTAAAGATTTTTCCTATATATTCCTATGTAAAACTTGGGTCGGCCATTTTGGCCCCACCCTTGCCCCGGGGGTCATGATTTGAACAAACTTGAATCTACACTACCTGAGGATGATTCCACACGAGTTTCATCTTTCCTGTCCTAGTGGTTCTTGAGAAGAAGATTTTTAAAGATTTTTGCTATATATTCCTATGTAAAACTTGGATCGGCCATTTTGGCCCCACCCTTGCCCCGGGGGTCATGATTTGAACAAACTTGAATCTACACTACCTGAGGATGATTCCACATGAGTTTCATCTTTCCTAGCCCAGTGGTTCTGGAGAAGAAGATTTTTAAAGATTTTTCCTATATATTCCTATGTAAAACTTGGGTCGGCCATTTTGGCCCCACCCTTGCCCCGGGGGTCATGATTTGAACAAACTTGAATCTACACTACCTGAGGATGATTCCACGTGAGTTTCATCTTTCCTGGCCCAGTGGTTCTGGTTATCACAAAAGCGAAGTTATTTTCACCCCTCTGTTTTTTTATTCATTAAACAAAAAAAATCTATTTAGAGAGTGATAACATCGTCCCTATTTTATAATTCCGATTGGTGGTATCACTGTTGAAAAAGGTGAAAAATAGCGGCGCATTTGTACGCTGCATGCTATTGACCACTTCATCGAATACTCTGTCGGAACTCCTCTAGAATTTACGATACCGCATATTAAAAATACGCAAAACAGCTGGACATCTAATCTATGTCATACTAAAGATGTTGGAGATGAATTAATGTTAATATTTAGACCATTTTCATTGTCAAAAGATTGATCCATACTGTAAATACAGACATACATGTATATTTTAGAGCTATTAATCTAGTTTACATATTTAATTTATACATGTAATTAAGTTATTATTCTGTGGTTTCTATTTTAATAATAAAGAATTCACAAAGAAAGAAATAATGATATATAAGGAATTTGAAAATAAACTCTGAAGAGGATGTCACAAAGTCTAATATGTTAAAACTTTGGATGATAAAAACGAATTATTTGTTTTCTAGCTAGACATTTATATGCCTTGTGACTGGAAAAAAATCAAACAATATATTTTTTTAGATATACCTTTCTGTCTCTTTTAGCATTCTGAAGATTTTTTTTTTACTTAGGTTAAATACATCATTGACATGAATATAATTTTGCAAAGTTTAAATAATGATCGATGTGCACTATAAGAGGACTACATAGATTTTAAAAACTTCTAAGCGGCATCTCCCTAAATTTGGTCCCTGAGATAACAAATTTGTTTTCCTGTATTTACCGGTCTGAGAAACCTGTAAATAATTTTTCCTATATTTTAAAAACATATTTATCTTCAGTCGTGGAAGAAGCATTCATTTCAATAAAAGGTGAAATATTCCTTTTAAAAAAGGAGGATTAACAGGAATTAAAACAGAATGTTGCTTTTCAAATATCGCCAGTGGTATTTCCGTGATATTTATAATTTTTAATTATTATGATATGTTTTTGTCCTCTCGTTACACTTATGCTAAGTATTTGATACTTATATTTTTAAAACATTAGAGTTATAAATAGATTTTGATTGGTGGAGGAAATCCATCACTAGGGTAAGATCACGAATCCCCTAATCCACTATTTGGGATGTAAAATTTTAGAATGCAATATTACCTTTCTTTAAATTGTCTAAACAGGCCTGCTTTGGCGAGAAAATAGCAAACTTAAGAGAAGATTTTTTTGTCTTAAATGCTAAATGTTGTCTTCTGGCTCCGGGGCCATAAGATTTGATGATCTCACTTCTGATCCTAATTTCACTTTTACCTTAGGAATTACTAGTATTAGTGAAAAAGTGATACTGAGATCAAGAGTAAGCTCATCAAAGTTTTATGGCCCCGAAGCCTGGAATATCAAAAGTATACGACACATTATTCATATCTGTATGCCAAATATTCTTTTGTTAGCATTTCTGTATTTGTATAACTGCATGAGTATCGCCAAATCCCCATAATCCGTCAGTACTCTAAATCCATCCCTTTCCGGAAACTCCGCGCAGTTTGTAAATGAGTGCGAATGTGACGTAATTTATGCATGCAGAAAACCTACAATCAAATTCAAAGCTATAATAACAGTTAAGTTACAAAATGCGTCATAACAAATAAAATTTACACTAATTTAATTATTGATTTCATATTTTATGTGAAATCAGTAAGCACCTTTTCCCCTGTGTGATATTTGATCGAAACCCCCGACAGGTGCGTCTACATGCTCAGCTTCCCTGTCAGCCATTTTTATGAAGGTCTATTACAAAGGTTCAACATGACACACCATGATGAGTACTTAATTTTTTAAATTTATTTATTTATTTTTTTTTGCATACAATTGCCCGAATGTACTATGTGTTGTGATCGCGTTAGCGCGACATTTTTACATATAAAATACGTTACTTTAACAGTATTTGTGTATGCCTTTTTAAAAATGCAATTTATTAATACTATTTGAAATCTTGAAAACAATTTCTCGTGTTTAAGATTCAAGAAAAGGGTATAAAAAGTTAAACTATGGGAAAAAATTCTTCAATATGTTGTAGAGGACCCTGGTGCCTGAGTTAGGGGACAAAATGACACTGGCAGGATACACGTTATATTTAGTGGTTTTATAAAATCCCAGTAGCTGTACTTTTCCGATTATATCATTAAAAATAATGTTCATCTTTATTACTGTGTAACAAGAAACAAATCAAAATATAATTGGAAGAGAAATGCGAGGTGTTTTCCGCTTATGGTGAGGGGTACTTAGGAATAACTAGTTCAGTTTTTATACATCAAATAAGTTAAAAATGCATTTGTCGTGTTGCTCACTTTTTTCTTGCCAATGATTTTCATTGGGATATCTCCTAGTTAAGTTTTTGTATATGCCAGTTACTTGGTGGTGAATTTCACATTTTACTGGAAGACGTCACCTCGATTCAGTACTTTCAGTACTTTGATTTCTTATATACCGGTATTTATGACGCAATAAGATTTTATTTACATTTCAAATTAAATATCTTATTTTGTTAATTTTTTCTTGCAATAATGATACGTTCATCTATATGTTATCCAGAAAATGAGTGCACTTCAATACATACATTTATAAATTGTACATGTTAATGTTACTGTAGTATCTCAAATTATTGTAACAATTCTTGACACTTTCTTCTTCAAAAGCTGCTGTTACTTTTGAGCGATATGTATCTTTTGGACAAGGATATCAATACAAGGTTGATTTCATTTAATTATATTATGCAAGAATTCATTTTAAGTACATTTGTCACAATTAGCTTATTTTAATTTACGCTAAGTACGCAACATTTTGCAAAAAGGTAGATTAAGATATTGTGTTGTATAGACGATAGATGTTTAGCCCTGTTCCCTTTCCCCCCTCCATACCTTGCACAAGTGGTTTCGTGACTGTCCCATATAAGTATCCCGTGGAGGTGGACAAAGCCAAATATTTCCTGGAATTTATGTTCCGAAGAGTGACAAAATCACCGAACCTGAAAATTAACCACCAAAACACTGTGAGAGGCAATATCATATGTTTGAATAAGGATTTAATAGTAAGCTTCACGAAGACTAAGGGTAAATGTTCTCTTAAAAAGTGAGTACATTTTACAAACATTTATTCCCGTATAAACAACCAACTGAAGTATTTTATTGTGAAATTTCATTAAAAGGATCGCAATAAACAAAGTCCAATATGATTCAGAGATATACATACATCTATATATTGTTATTCTTTCAAATGGAATAAAGTTATGATAATAATGCCATTTATCTTTGACACATTGCATATAACTCGATAGATAACAATATATCCGCACCTTTTGCAGAAGCATTAATTATTAAAAAAAATATTCTGGTGATGTATTTGTACAGAGTTTCTTACTTTATACCATCATCAGCACTTTCGACTTCCTCGGCCTGTCGTTTACGTCGTGACGTAAGAGTCGTAGAAGCGCCGTCTGGTGGGTTACACAGGGAGGGAGATGCCGTCTCCTTACAGTAAGTATACAGTGCCCGACGTAAACATTGACGTCTTTCAAATAAACCTAAAATTAAAGATTATATTCCCCATCTTTTTAGTATTCAAATTTGGATGATTTTTTTTTCCAGTTTAAAATATGTGCATTCCATAAATTGGTAAGCATTAAATGACTACGTAAGCATTGGTTCTGCACAGGTAATTTTTTATCAAAATCAACTCTGGATATTTTCCTCGAAACAACATACTGCTCATTTAAAACACTTCATGATTTTGTCACACACACATTAAATTTTATCAATTTAGATTTTCTCCAAAAAAATATATCAGGGCAAAAAAAGTACACAAAGCATGAGCAAAGAAAAGCATAATTTATATCCTTTAAGATAACTAAACAACCAAATGGAAAGCTTAATATTACACTCAAAATACTTTAAGCATGTTATGGTATATATACCATAAGTAATATCTTTAAAGTATCCAGGCTTCAAGAGCGTCTCAATGGAGGTCAGCCTGTACTGAATCGGTACCGGTTTCTCATCTGCAGATCTCGCCCATTCTCGTAAACTCTCGGTACTTCCGGAAGAAAAATCCCCGGATGGTGGATTCCCACCGATATAATATTCATATTGTTCTTTGTTGGTATTTTGTACACGCTCTTTTGACTCCTCTTTGGAGCCAACCCCCACACTGAATCCCCCACCGCCCGAGGCACCGAATCCGCTGAAGGAGGCTTGTGCAGCTACCTAGGAATATAGCTTGCTAAAATATAATCTCTTTCAAGCTTGGCTAAAAACAACATCTTGCATATTTTCTCCAGCTGTAGTTACATACATGTTCTTATTAAGGTGTCTTACCTTCGCACTAATTCCTTCTGATTCCAGTTTTGAAAGGTCAGATTTGGCAAATGTAAGCTGTTGAACGGCTTTAGCCCCCATGACTACTTGGGTTGTATAATGAGTCCCAAACTCGCGTATAAAATTGAGGTACATTTCTTGCAATGATTCGTCCTCACAATTCTCCATAGGCAGCAACATAACAGCTTTCTCGAAGTATTCATTTACCTAGAGAAATCAGATAATTCATCGTATTGTGTATAAAATAATAATCATCTAATATCGTACTATTCCTTGATAAGCTAGATATTATTCTGAAAATTTCTCCCCGGAAAATGTACTAGCTATTCAATGTATTTTTTAAATAACAATAAAAAAGAAAAAAAAAAACAAAACAAAAAAGTTGCGAGTGTCCACCCTGCATTTGAATATTGCTCTCTAATTGCAAAATGTCTATAAAATATAAAATGTATTTCTTTTATGTCTAAATATTATTTTTTTGCTGAGCGGAGAAGCACTCAGCTATTAGAATTTCATTATAGAATACAAATTAGAAGATTTACATTCACAATTATTCAACAAAAAAAGGTTTTTACCTTAGACATTTTGGAGGTCTCGGACATCCTAGCTCTGTACGCCACAGCCCGGCTTACAATGCTTAAAGTAGTTGTCTCCCCTTTTTGAATTTCCCGCGTATTTTTTTGATAAGATGCACTGGCACTGAAACTGGCACTAACGCCCCAACCACCTCCAGCGGCATTAACCTTTAAAAAAAATAACGTAAATTATCTTAGTTTTTAATTATAGACACCGGCATTGGCAAGTTGTTAAATAAAGTTTTATATACAAAGACATCTTGTCAAAAGAGAGAAAAAATACAATTGATTTGACTATCGTAGAATCGAAAAACGAAAAATCAGATATACCGAGGCGTCCACACTCAGCATGCTTTTATAGTCCGACTCCGACTGCACTGAATAGAGAGAGGACCCAAACTTGGCGCTGTGAAAGAAAAAAATGTATGTTTGAAAAATCGATTTTTATACCCCCGGCTTGAAAAGCGGGAGGGTATATAGTAACCGTCCGTCCATCTGTACGTCCGTCTGTCCATCTGTACATCCGTCTGTCCATCTGTCTGGTACGCTTTGGGGTACCCATTGCTTATCCGAAACTTCTCTTATACCACTGAGTGTAATTTAATGAAACTTTCACAGAATCTTTATTACAAATTGCCATTGTACACCTCCTGTTTTACTTTTTGATCTGACACATATTTTGGGTTTCCCGGCCACAGCAAAACATGGACTTTGCGGGGGTATTATTTAGTGAGCTCATTGTTCACAAACCTTTGTTTTAGATTTCAGTACACATAATGCTAGTGCATATATATCATTAATATCTCGTCAGTGCTCGCAAAAAAATACTTGTTTCTGTTCTTTAATGATACAAATTTATAGATGGTTTTATTATACCCCCCGCTTGAAAAGTGGGAGGGTATATAGTAATCGGGATTTCCGTCCGTCTGTACGTCCGTCCGTCCGTCTGTTACGCTTTATCTCTTCTCCTCTTATACTACTGTGTGAAATTTAATGAAACTTTCACAGAATCCTTATTGCATATTGCCATTGTGCAACTCCTATTTTACTTTTTTATTCGACACGTATTTTAGGTTTCCCATAGCAAAGCATGGACATTTCCATTATATATTTACCTACGACGTCACATATAGAAGCTTCTGAATAACATTTGAAGGACGAGTTATTCCTCTTTACACATTACCGTAAAACAATACATAGCAACACATGGACATTATGGGAGGGCGGGGGTATCATTTAGTGAGCTCATTGCTCACAGTACCTCTAGTTTCAATTTATATAAGAGGAATTCAAGTAATAATAGTAATAATAATAATGAATGCATACAATTACCACATGTTTCTGGATATATCAATCAGTCAATCAATTAATCAATCAATAAATCGATTAATCAACCAATACCTTGATTCTGCAATGACGTCAACATTATCTGGAATCCGATATTCTCCGTCGGCAGTAAACTTGTGGGTGTAGGGTAATTCCATTATCGGGAGGCGAAATCCTTGATCCACCACTCCATCATCACTGAGGGGGTTCCCCTTGAATAAATCATAGCCACGACCTATGTATCCCAAGTTGTAGCGCGAAGTTGTGGCGATAAATGGAGTCTGGGCTTCATGAAAGGCTCTAAATGCTGGAAGGATAATGGTTGAAAATCGATATATTACTTACACGTTACGGTAAATATTCTTGATTTATAAATAAGAGTTAATTAAATCGATAAATAATTCTAATTCTTCAGAAAAAAACCGAATTAATTTTCTTCTATTGTTATATAATACACTGTATAATCAATTTAAAAACTAATTTTATGGGGGTGTTGTGGAATCAGCATGTCCATTTTTCTCATATGAATTGTATATTAAAACACGTCTGACATTAAAACTCAAAAACATTATTGAGTATTTTATATGTTTTTAAAGATGTTTGGTCAGTTTATAGCATATGTAATTTGATGGTCAGCCTTTTATTTTCAAAATTAATTTGGTATAGATTAAATTGTTAAGACTAATTAGATATTGTTTAGTATGATAGGCATTTGACAAGGTCTAACACAAGTTACACAACCAGTATAGAAATCTATCAATATTGTAATATTTGTTATAATTAATGCCTACACCACAGGGGATTGTTGAAAAAAATATTGTAAGGAATAGAAAAATCATTGAAATCTTAGAAACACTGTTGACATGATTTTTTTGCACTCTAAACTGTTAAATATTGTAATTTTTGGACGGGCATATCATGCTGTTGCATGACACTTTATTAATTAATTTAATTAATTTACCGATCAAGAGTTCTGAATTCTCCAGAGTTCTCTACTGAGTAAGATGTTTACATACGGTTTGTAATAACATTTATTTTCTCCCTCGTAAACTCTTCAGAAAATAAATCTTTTCATGACTAATTTGAAAAACGACAACAAATAGTTTAGGTTAGGTGCGTTCGTTACAAGATCGCATTTATAAATATATCAATAATCATAGATTTTGATGGCGAAATATGTAACAAAATATTAATTGACACCTTCATCAACAAGAAAACATAACTGTACATGTATATAATGATTACATACAATGCGTTGCATAGTTTTTAGGGCGGGGATGGGAAGGGAAATGTATGTCCTTGAAATCTTGTAACGAACTTCAAAAACACGCCTGGAACACTATTTATAGTAAGCGCCAAATCACTCGTGCATGCAAAAATTACTATGAATAGATCGGACATTTCCGTAAAACGAAACTCAAAAACGAAATGAAATTCATATATTTTTTATCATAGGTCCATTGCTAATTTCCTATTTCTCTCAACTTGCCATATTAATGAAGATTTTTTCTCTCATTTATAGTCTCGTTATGATATCATCTTAAATGAAGGAAAAGATTTAAGTGCCTATGATAACTTTATCGACTGTATATGTCATTGAGCTTCCTTGTCAAAAAGGATGTTTCTAAGTTTTAGCCGGAAGTCTTGTTTATATTTTCAAAATGAATTGAAATAAATGCAGACATTGTCCTTTGTAGTTTTTTCCTCTCCTAAAACACATACATTAACAAAATGATCTGATACCATTTTACTGAAAATCAAAACTAAGTCTGCATTGATTTGAAATTCAGGGAGAAAATACACTAAGAGTAAAAAATTATCTGGAGCTCTATAATCTCATCAAACATCCATCAACATAATAACATGTCAAATGCTTAAGGATAGATGATGCTAAAAAAACTTTTATATAAGGCATTTTAGTAATGTTTATATAAGTAAAGCTTACAAGATAAAATAGAAAGTTTAATCGAATAGATCTTCATTCAAAGTGTTTGCATTTAAAGTGTCAAAGTATCATAGCTATTGGTTTATAAAGTGACAAATTGTTGTATATGTGGTTTTAAGGTTTCTTCAAAGGTCAACATGTCTGAAATATTATTTTTACAATAGCTCCAAAACTATGTGTGATATAAAGTCAAAACATTTACAGTTTATAAATAAATAATTGATTAATAGAAAGAAAGTATCACTTGTTAGCAAATATTTTTAAAACGATATTTTTTTTAGAAAAATTGTATCAGAAAATGTGCATATTTAAAGAAAAAATGCACCTGCTTAATTCTGTCTCTTTTGTGAAAACCATCATTGCAGAAATAATATATGTTTATCATTGAAGGGCACGTTGGACGTGAATGGTCTCTGAAAGGCTGTTATTGAAAGCATGACATGTATAAAGACAAGACCCCTATAGAATTCGCCATATGCAATGTACTTTCACTTTCAAGTCTTAACATTTTGACAAAAAAAACGAGGAAAACAACTTTCCAGAGGCTATCCAAGTCCAACTTGCCTTTCATCAATTAACATTTTTTGATTCTGCAATGATGGTTTTCACTAAGCGCACTGAATTAATAAGGTGTATTTTTTGAAAATATATGCATTTTTTAAGAAGAATTTTTCTCAATTAATATTTTTTCCAAGTATTTCTTTATCAAGTGATTTCTTTCTGTTAATCAGTGAAAAATTTATAAACTGCATGTGTATAAAAGTTTTAACTTTATACCACACATAGTTTTGGGGCTGTTGTAAAAATAAATTTATGGACATGTTGACCTTTGACGAAACCTTAAGAGCCATATTCTCTGTAACCACTTATAAACAATTTTGTCACGCAAAGTTAGTTTTTAATGACAATGGAAACCACTTGAAGACATTTATGAAACATACTTTAAAAGTTTTAAATGAAAAATTGTATCCATGGAAACGGGTCATTTTAGTGAAGAATATGGGTATGTATTTCCATGGCAACAAAGGTGCATGGAAACCAAAAATGATATTTTTAATAAACTTGCGTCATTACAAGTCACTATATAAATTTCATAAAAATCTGTGACCATGCATGCCAACAGTCCAATACAATTTCTAAAGTCGTAACAAATGATGACTATTACTGAGTATGGTTGCAGAAAGGTATGATTTGGAACACCCTAGAAAATATAGGGCATAATAGATAAGAAAAAAACCTTTTGCTTCTCTTTGATCCGCCTCTTGTGCCTCTGCAGAAGCCAACTTCTCGGGAAGTCTCGCGTGAATACTAGCGTTCATCATTGTTGTTGACAGCTGTAGTTGCTGGAAACGAAATCCACTTACCAACTCTTCCAAAGAGACTGAAATTTATTTAAAAATCAGTTCAACAAGCACGGACAAGAAAATTTGACAATATAAGATAGAAGGTTTTAATAGGAACTAAATAACAAATAGAAGATAATTTTAATGTAACGATCTGCATTGTTACATTTTGACAAATTTTTATTCTTTACGCGATTTTTCAGTTTCAGTTAATTTTATTCATGGAACTATATAAAGGCTCATCAAATTATTTTCAGAATAATATGAATAAAGAGTATACAAAATAATGTATTTTCCAATTACATCTATATGATATACGTCATAGTTGGTTAATTTTAAGCATTTGAGAAATTGAGATACAAATTATCAAAAATCACAATTAGTAATGCAACATAAATGAATGTTACATCTGTTATAGCTTACGTTGAAAAAAGTATCACCATCTATCTTAAAATATCTTATGTATTTTAAAATAAACCCAGTCATATGGGGAAGCACATCTTCACTAGCCATGGGTTTCCGATCCAAAATCTCCTCTAGATTTCGGATGAAATAGAGAACAAACGCTTTTGTTTCGTAATATAACAACTTTTTTTAGCTCCATGTCAAAATTTAAATATTTCATAGAAACAAATATCCGATATCCTTTTACAGAAAACAAGTGTAATGAGTATGGAAAATTTGAAACAAGCAAGGAATTAGTTTTACTAATTTACTATAATGGGAATTTCCCTCCACGCTAATTAATGTGTTCAAATTTTAAAAATTCATGCATACAAGTGTACATTGACAGCTGCTTTTTCAATAAAAATGGAACGCGTAAATTTACTAACATTCTGATTATACACACAAGTACTATGAAGTTGACATAAAAATGCTCGAGTTTCTGATTGACAATATCTACATTTAGATATATCGACGACGCATTGCCAATTAACAATGGTAATTTCCATTCTTATGTCAATACGATATATCCTGGTGAGCTTGAGATAAAAGATACCACAGGATATGACACATCTGTTTCATATTTGGATATTTTTACTTTAAAAAACATTAATGATAAACTAACAACCAAGCTTTATGATAAACTGATGACTATTTTTCGTCAACTTTCCTTACTTATGCAGCAATATACAGACTGTACCTTTATCATCTGTATACTGAGTTTATATATATCAGTTAATTCGATATGCGGGAGTATGCTCTACGCATGAACAATTTCTTAAACGAGGTAAAATTGTGGACAAACAAGTTGATGAAACAATTTCAGCAGTTTCGTTTAAAGTCATCATCGTAAGTTCTATGGTCGATACAATGTCCTTGCAAATTAAACTTGCAAAATGATAAAATCAAATTAACCTGTTGATGCTATTCTTTTATCACATTGGCAATGGCTTATCCCGTTTTAAAAATCATTCATACGTAGATCAATCTTCTGTGTTTCGTATTTACTGGGAACATAACCCCTATATACATATGCAGGTAATAATGGTACAAAATTTTTTATACTCAATCAAAAACAGCTTGAAATTGAACAGTATTCATTCTTTACACCCCCCCCCCAAAGATTTCTTTTAAATTAATTATTAAATATTCATCATATTTTTTCTTTAAATAATATTTTCAATATAAAAAATGTTTTGGAGGGTTGAAGAACTCAAAAGTCGTTGACTTTTTGCTTAGACAAGATAGCAGTCTTCTTAAACTTCCGTGTTAGAAGAACACTTATACAAATAATCCGAGATCAGGTTAAATGTAAGTAGGAGGTGCTTCAATTTTAACCCTTCTATTCCATAACAGTACCAGTACGTGAGCTTTAATTCTAAACAGAGAAACCATTACGAGGATCACACGGAAAACCATGCTTAATGTTTAAGGAGGAATAGTTATACCAGATAAAATGATTACCGCTGATTCATTAGATCTTTTCAACGCAGGGAAAAAAGATGTTATTTTTTATATGTTATATGTTTTCTAAATGTTTTTGAAAACGAATTAAGTTATTGACAGTCAAGTTGATGTAACAAGAATATTAGAAGTCTCGTTTAAAGTCATCATTTCTTATGTTCTTTCAAATTGGTTAATACAATGACCCTGCAAGTAAATACAACCTATCTAAACCAAATACTAGTATTTAATGATTTAATGCCGTTTTTCAGACATAATGTTAGGCGATTATATTTACACACTGACTTGTCGACGGATTTTCCCATGAGAAGGAGCACACGACGGGTATGACAGGTGGGGAATGGATACTCAACCCTCATGGCACCTTATCCCACCTCTGATATTTTAGAGATTTGTGTTTCCTCTACTTTTAAAATATAAATTTTATGGACTTTTGAGTTTGAGAACTGTCCGTTATTACCATATATTTCCCTACTTTAAAAAAATGTGCTTGAGGACGTCTTCAAATTAATTCAACAGACTCCATTTTGAATATTAATATAACTCAGAGATGAACTAAACAATCTGACTGTGGTTGTAACTTGTTATAATACTATCTAAATCAAGCCTTTTCCTCTTTGAATCTTGTTTAAAGAAATCATATTGCAAATGGCAGCTTGAGGAACACAATTGTATTCGTCATAACAATAAAGGAAAAAAACCATATTTCCAATTCGTAACAAACTTGCATATATGCAATTAACGTGTTATGTTCGTTTTTATACAGATCATGTATATTCCCTGCACGAATTGTATGTCAGTCGGAAGTTAGTTGAATTGGCTACATCACAAAGTTGAATTAGCTATAATTTGATAAAGCATAAAACTATACTGTGTGCTATTTATAGAAAGATAATTATTTATACATGATTTAACTAAAATCTGTTTCAAATTTATCGAATGCTTTTGGTTAAAAAAGGCATATTATATACATGTATGTTAAATCACTTTGCAAAAGGAACATTCTTAGCAACAGATGATAATTATGATAATTACCATCAGGAAATTTTTAAATGAGGGGCAATTAAAACGATTAATATCAATATAGACAAAAAAACTTACGAGATGCATAACTAGTATTAATTGCCTGCAAAGTTACGTTCTCTAAAACTCCCATGAAAATAAATAGCGGAATTATGAATTGCCAAGTCATCGTTGTATTTAAGCCAGAGTCCAGCGACTAAATCATATTTATAAGCAGGGGATTTGCATTTTATATGTCGACTCGATACATTACGGAAAATTGTTATTAGCTTCCGGTTTCATTCCTATGTAAACATCTAAATCACTTTCTGGCATCCTTGTTCTCGTCACCTGTTTTGTAAATGGGAGTACTCGTTCCAGATGACGAACAACAATCATGCTCGAAAATTCATTTAAACAATATAAATTTTCAGCAAAGGCAATATACAGGAATTAAAAAAACAGAATTGGGTCAAATGAAACCGGAGGATAAACAACCCCGAAATCTATGCATACACGATGATATTATTATTTTTAATTTGAATAAAGAACTTAAAGCTTCTTTGCAGTTTTTTTTAAGTTGTGCCGTTTTGAAAGATTCATTTGCTTCTGAATAAGCGATAAAAACTTGAGAAACGATGCATAACAATTTGATGTAATCGAAATAAAGATCAGATTCCGATGAGAACTTAATATGTGAATGCTCATTGATGTAGTAATTCTCAGTATATGTATAGTCTAAGGTTGATGGTTTACAATTCAATTATGTCTAACCAACAAGAGAGATCTGTATGACTCATATTGCCCTATTCTTTAATTGTTATCATTATATTATTGTTCAAGTAGCAAAAAATGCAACTTTTTCATAACTGAATTGAAAAAAATGGTATGAAATTAAGATGTTTAAATTAACATAAAAATATTTAATTTTGAACATTTTGAAAATAAACAATTTAAAATCATTTATTTTTCATTTCGATTTTTTCATGCAAATATTAATTCGAGAATATATGCATAACTGATGAAATGAAGAATCAATATTTTTCGTAAGATTTCTACGAAATAAGGATAATAACATAGAAAAATGCCATCACTAATTATTATGATAATATGAATTTTGATCTAAAAAAAACTAGCAAGAATAAAAAAAAAAGTATATTGAAAAACTTTTTTTCACACAAAATGAATGGAACACCACCCATTCAGTATATATTAATAAAAGGCAATAAAGATTGTTTTGCAATACAAGACACTAATTAGTACTTTACATGTTCCTATCATATTCTTATATGAAAGTAACCACGAACTTCCAAATATAGAATTTAGATGTAATGATAAGTTCCCAAAACTTAAGATACAAGAACAGGAGATTACAGATATAATCTCAGCTTAAATTTTCCTGTCAATAAAACAGTTGGTCAAGATTGCGTCAGTCACAAAATGTTAAAGGCGTGCAAAACACAAAATGTTAAAGGCGTGCAAAACACTATTATATATCAAAACAACTATGTATATAACCGGGTATTTAATAAATCATTATAATTAAAAACATTAATTTCCGGAATGTTGGAAATTGGCATATGTTATTCATTTATTTAAGAAAGATTACCCCCTTATCACTTCAAATTTTAGACCTGTCCTTTTGATTGGTTGTGTAAGTAAAATATTTGAAAGAATTATATTCGAACATGTGTATAATTACATACATTCAATTTTTTTAAGTATTAAATATTAATCAGGATTTTTATCTGGGCACTCTGATGTGTATCAGGTTCTACAATCATACCACTCTATTAAAAAATGTGTTGACGAAATAAATTCTGTTGCAAAGTGTTTTTCGATTTATCCTATGCATTTGATGGAGTCTTGCATAAAAGCCAATCTTATAAATTCAAGTATGTAGAATTAGTGGTAATATGCTGAATTGGTTTTAAAGTTATTTGAGCAACAGAACACAAAAAAGTCGAGTACAGAAATTTATTTTCTTTCATAAGCCATGTAAAAGCTGGAATCCCTCAGGGTTCGGTACTTTTACTACTATTATATTTGCTGTATGTATGTGATGCTGCTAAAATATATCATTTGTTTGTAGATTATTAGGGTAATCACTGTCTAGTTAGTATATTATGCCAGGGCAGCAACGATAGTGGGAAACACGGTATAATTTATGCATAACAGGCTTCATTAGTGACAATGATTCCTTATATTTCCATTTCATTGTGAAATAAAATTGTAGATTTAGAAATAGATTTAAATTAAATGAGGACTCCCATTCCAATTTAAATAGTCCTCGCCCACTGACGTCAAACACAAAAGCAGCCGCACGAGATTTACATGCATATTTGGCCTCTTTAACGTCAGACACGGAGACAGATGCGCAGGAGATTTGCATGCATATTAGGCATCCTTAGTTGCTGACCTATCGACCTGCTTTATTTACATTCTGGTAGAATTATCAAGAAATCAATCAACTCTGCTAACTTTAAAAGAGTTATCACAGAGAAAAAAAAATTAGAAATGAAAAAATATGCTGAAAATGTCATTCTTAACAACAATGTTCAGAAAATATAACTTTTAATGAGCAAAATCTTTAACATGATCATAGACAGGAAATGTAAAAAAGAAAAAAAAAGCATGGTTGTTGAAATTCAGTCCACCGAAAATCACAGCTGTATATTTTCATTTAAATGTAACAATTTCTAAGAATAAGGTTCAGTTTCAATTCAAATTAAGCCCTGTATTTTTTAAAAAAGAAAGTGATATATGAAATTAAAATTCATTCTTTCTGCATCATAGGAATCCCATGCAGTAAGAATACACAAATCGTTTTTCTCATATTAATTCCTTAGTGCTAATTGTGATGTCATTAACTTGTGAATTTCCTTTGAAAGTTGTAGAGGACATAAATTTTCAATGGAAAATTCTTTTAGAAAACACACTCTGCCACAGCCGCCAACAAAGATTTTGAGATATGTGATTTTTCAAAGCAGTTAACGTAATATATGCAAAATTTGTGGGCGACGGTGGCAGGCATTACCGGTATTTTCTAAAGAAAATAAACACAGAAAGGAGTCATTCTGAGGCTGTTACTGCATTAAACTTAGAAATGTACCAAATTAATGACGTCATATTTCCAGAATGACCTTCTTTCATGTCATATTATTTAATGATTTATCATATTCATCTACTCAACTCTTGCTAAAGCCAATTTCATAAATTTTTAAGAACATTAATTTTTTAGGGCACAATGAAGCCCAAACCGTACCTTCTTCTTTAACTTTTGAGAACTGTTAATTAGAATATGTCTCACATCGCAAACACATCTTTGGATACTATTGTCCTTAAATTTTTGGTGGTATGATCATATTGATAATATTGTAAAAATGGCCTACCTCCATTAAATGTAAATAAAAATTGTCAAGCAATATTCTTAAACCTCTAGATTATTTCTCTTTTGGAAAGAGATTTTGAAATAGAATTCACTCAAAGTTGAGACATAATTGCAGGGTTCTCCATAAGGGGTTTTACCATGGCGGCCCGCCATGGTTAAACTTTTGTGCGCCATGGTTAAACGAGCTGCGCCATGGTTAAAATGGGCAGCCGCCATGATTAAATTTTATTGCATTTCAGTCCTGACACCTACTTTTTTGATGACTTGAGTAGTTAATAGTGTTTATACTACGACTGCCATTCACCTCGCATACTTCGAAGGAAAGCGGACTGGTTAAACAAACACGTTGTTAATCAGCGACTATCTGCTGTGAAGCGTGACAATCAATGGAGAGTCAATCAGCTGAGCAGATGATTAGTATATTGAGATTTTATTATCCTGTACACATGTAAATAATTTTGGGGAACTTGACTACATGATTAGATATATAACGGGTTCATAAAAGATGACAATTACGAGCATGATAATCGTCATGCATGCTGTGTCAGAAAAAAAATACTCTGTAAAAAATTCATATTCCTCTGCAGTTAATCAGTTTCCCATGATCTGTTTTTAAGCTTTAACTTTATTATCTTTTTGATAAAATGTTCATAGGGCCTACATCTTGAGCAATCACCATAATAATAATAATAATAATAATAATAATAATACTTTATTTATAGAAGGTAACCCGATTAGTGCAAGCACTAGTCTTCCTCAGGGCCTTCTTTATAACATATATACAATGTTTTATACATTAAAGACAATAATTACAAACATGAAACAATAAAATATAAACACTTTGTTACAACAGAATAAATTAAATATTGGCATTTCATTGAAAAGAAAGGAAAACATAAATTTCATGTAGAACCAGTACGTTTCATAATTAAAAAATTTTCAACCCTACTTTTAAATATTGCAAGGGATTGGGAATTCCTAATACTAATAGGCAACTCATTCCAGACCATCGTAGCACGCTTAGGTTTAATTGCCGGTATAGTCATAGTTTTAGATTTACTTCCCGTTGTAATGAAATGTCGCGTGGTGCTATTTTTATTTTTATTTGGGCACATGGAGAAGTAAACAACACTTGGTGAAAAATGCAATATTTAGAGAAATAAAACTTAAAAAAAAGGGACACTGGTCCAAATGTTCCTTTGCGTGTTAACTTAAAAAATACTATCCATTCATCAGTTTTAGTTATAGTGAAACAAAACATTTGATACAACAGGCTACAATTCTTATAATTATTAATTTCTGGTTACTGACTGACTGTATCAACCATTTTACTTTAAATTCCTTCAGAGGGTTAACTACAGTTTTGGGCAAATTTTAGTATACAGGATAATTCCTTTTCAATTTAATTGTTTTTTTTTATTCAAAAAAAGTGTTAACTTAGTTATTTCATTGTTTTGTGGTGCAGTGGTTAAGTTTAAACATTGCAAAACCAATCATTGATTAATGAAGATAAGGAAGTCTAACACGCTTAATTTTGTGTTTTCTGTCACATTTTGCTTTCACACAGCTTCCTCCATGGTTAAATTTTCAAATGTGGAGAACCATGAATTGTATTTTAAATTCTGACCTATATTTCACTGTAATTTTAAAGACGGTCCAAATTGTTTATGTGGTCTATCAGAAGATTTATTGTTGGTCCAGATTGCATCAGTCTGGAAAATATGCAACAGCAAGACAATCTCAATTCAAGAGTGATATCTTATCATTCAACATTGTGTATGAGGGGTGATCAAAACAATAGACTTTCCAGAGGTTCAGTCATAAATTGGATTGGTTGTTTTACGGAAGGGAGGGAGATGCTTAAAAATGACGTTTGTTTTTACCCTGGGGAAGAGAT